CCGCCATCGCCTTTTGATTAGGAACTGAGGTCGACTTCTGATGTAGCGTCGTCGTTTTCCGAGCCAGTAAGACAACCGTCCTGTTCGATTTTCATATCTGCCATACGGAAAGCCATGAGAATTAAATGTAGTCATCTTACTTGACAGCAAAATGTTGTACAGAAAAAAGCAAGGAGAGCAAAGAAGCTGTCTTGAACGTTCTTAAGGTATATTTCTAAATTAACTTTTAACCTCTTTGCTCTACTTGGTCAAGAGCCATGATTGCAGTGCAAAACAAAATTATCAGATTTTCTTCATTCTCTACTTTAGCTTTTTTTGTTTCTTACAATCGATGCAATCCCATTAAGAACAAATGACCTTTCTATTATAAAAGATATTAAACAACACTGAAAATTTCCTAATGCTTCATTTCAACTCAATAATGGATTGAGAACCCAATAGTCCGCTGCACTACAAAAATAACCTCACCTCACTCTTCGTTTTCGACCTTTGCGAGTCATCACCAGTCTTCTTCCTCGCTTGTAAATCTTTCTCAATTTTCCTCCGCATCTAACCCTCATTACGGCTCTTCGTCTTACTCTTGGTCGCCTGATTCCTCTCCATCTACTCTTTCTTCCAAAAGCAGCTCTTCCGCGCTTCACCTTGACTCGCCGGTATCTTCGTCCAACACGAACTCTTATCTTGCCTCTGACTCGTCTTGCACGCCGCCATCGCCTTCTGATCAAGAACTGAGGTCGACTTTTGATGTAACGTCGTCGTTTTCCAAGTCGGTAGGACAACCGTCCTGTTCGATTATCATATCTGAAATGTCATAGCAGATGTCAATTAAAAGTCGTTTACTTACTTGGCAACAAAATATTGCAAACATGAGCTGCAGAGCAAACATGGTATTTCAAAACCATTTAAGGTAATTTTCATAATAACGTTCAAACCTCCTCACTCTACTTGTTCATGAGCCAATTAGTCAGTGCTAATCAAGGCCCTTAGATTTCCTTCATTCCTGCCCTTAACCATTTTTTTTTTATATTTAACAATCGATCGAACAATCGAATAAGTACCATTTATAATACGCAACAAACAATATCAAAAAAATCGTTAACTGTTCAGTTCAACTCAACATGGCTTGAGAACACAATGGTCCGCTGCACTACAAAACAAACCTCACCTCACTGTTCGTAGTCGACCTTTACGATTCATTTTCAGTCTTCTTCCTCGTTTGTAAATCTTTCTCAATTTTCCTCCGCATCTAACCCTCATTACGGCTCTTCGT